TATACAGAGTGGTCGTCTGTTATTTGCAGCGATGGTAAGTACAAACACAGATTGCATTTGCAATGGGAATGCATATCAGCGCCATCAATTCCCGGAGCCTGTGTTGAGGCATGTCGGAACAAACCAGCGGGTCTGAACACAGATCTGAGAGGAAAACACAACTGGAAGTGGATGGCGGGGGGGGGGGGGGGGTTTAGCATGGGAGCACCAGTGTGGGCCCCCAGGGAGGTGGAGGAGACCCCTGCCATAAAGACCCCAAGGTCAGATAGCGCCCTCCTCCTTCTGCTGTAATATCCCGCTTTCTGTCTTGCTGGGGTTACAACAGAAAATGAAAGAAATGCTAATCTAGCGTGCAACTCTTCATTAGCCCACGAATCTAGGGAGGGCGATTTTTAAAAACTGATGGGAATAAAACTTATCATAATATATCTCGCTGGGACAATCCACTGGATTACTGGAAGGAATCTGGGAGTGCTTCATCTCTGCGCCTTCCTGATGGACAACATCAACTGTAGAATAACATTAGCTGAAGAATAACAGGTGCACTGGAGTGCCTGTATCCATTGTCTGTTACCTAGAAACCAAAGAACTTTGCAGTGGGGTGTGAGATGCAAAACCAGGACTTTCAGTCCAGGTTCTTTTTAAATGCCAGGGTGGGATGCAGGTGTGACGGACAGTACAGGGTGACCAATCGTGGTGTGGCCCGTCCTGGCAGCTGGGTCATGTGTGTGGCCTCATGTACAATGGAGAGCTGGCAAGGCAGGGTGGGGCAGGAAGTTAGATGGACTGATCCCCAGCCCCCTTCCGTTACTAACAGGAAGTCCTGTCTGAAAGAGAGGGGAATGGGGGCGCAAGAGCAAATGAGTGAATGGAGGAAGCAGCTCACAACTCCATCATTTAGTACGGCCCCCGCTGACAGAGAATGGTCCACTGGCACCTGTAATGGTGTGCACCTCTTTAGATGGGGGTGGGTGCTATTCAAACTCTTTCCAAATCAGTCTGATGCTCTGATGTAGGATGCCGCACTGGGGTTGAGGTGGTTCCCTCTGCTGGTGACCTGTGGTATTGCAGACCAGGGTGAGCACTGTGACAGACCAGGACACCTGGGGCTCCTCAAGGACTGAAGTCCTTTTGTTTGGAAACTGGAGGGAATTCAGCTTGTCTGTTTTAGCAGTTAGCTGATCCCCCCCCCAGCCCCTCATTAGACCAATAAGTGTGTGAGTCTCATTTCTCTGCTTCAAAGGCAAGACAAGTATCAAAGTGGCTTTGGCGCGTTTGAGAGTGCTGTGCATCCCTGTATATGGGCAATCTCATTGGCTCCCTGCCCTGTTTACGGGCAATCCCATTGGCTCCCTGTTCCCACGCCAGTTTGACATTCAGGCTGCTTGGGGACTCTTAACCACCTCAAACCAACATCAAAATGGGATCCTGGGCGATGAAGAGGCTAGCAGAGTGGGAGGGGCTCAGAGTTTGGGTTTCGTATAACCAGACATGGGGAGGGGTAAGTTAGGTTATAGGATGGTTCTGAAATCTAAGGTTAAATCCAGGGTTAGCCCCTCCCTTGGGAAATGCCTAGTGTTAAACAGCTTGGTGGACACATGGCTGAACCCCCCCCTCCTGTCACTTGGGCCCTGGGGCAACATTTAGAGTTACCCCCCAACTTCTCTGACTCCCCTGGACATAAGTCCAATGTAACACTCAAACCACCACTTTTGATATTAAATATATTATATTTATGTGTGATGCATTACAGAACAATGCAGGGGGCTCATACGGCGCCCATCATTCAGCAGCAAAGGGGCTCATTCTGCTTCCTGTTTTCACAAGCCTTCCACGCAAGCTTGTTGTTCAGGTGCCGCCATGGCAAGCGACATTTTCAGCCTTGCCGTGAATCATGGTAATGACAGACGCCGGACAAGGCCGTCTCCGCAACTGCTCAGATGTCACGTCCGTCTGAATCTTTTCCGGGTGCTTCTGTTCCGGGATACACCCGGCATGGAAGGAGAGAGCTGGCAGCATGAATTTAAGTTTTAATTTAGCTATTTATCGCTGAGTTTTTAACCCGCATCCATGGCGAGACAGGTGCCCCGGATAAGCACTACAGTTAGCCTCTTGGGGGACTCAAACCAACAACCAACAACCTCCAGGTTAGGCATCTGACCGGGTAGTTGCTGCCGATGTGTTGAGCAAGTGGGGGGATGGGGTGGCCAGTTTAAAACCATGCGAAAGACATAAACACAGACAGCGGGAGTGAATTTCCAAACATCTTTGAGAAAAACAACAACTTTGAGACGCCAGTTTAAGTAGGAGATGAGTGGGAGGCGTCATATTGGACAGACTGGAGCGGGAGTGCGAGTGGTGGGGTGAGCGGGAGTGCGAGTGGTGGGGTGAGCGGGAGTGCGAGTGGTGGGGTGAGCGGGAGTGCGAGTGGTGGAGTGAGCGGGAGTGCGAGTGGTGGGGTGAGCGGGAGAGCGAGTGGTGGGGTGAGCGGGAGAGCGAGTGGTGGAGTGAGCGGGAGTGCGAGTGGTGGGGTGAGCGGGAGAGCGAGTGGTGGAGTGAGCGGGAGAGCAAGCGGGAGCAGCGGCATGTCCAGCTCGGGGTGGGGGGGTCTTGCATTAAAGGGATACTGTAGCTGCCCTGGGAGAAGATGTGGAGCCATTACAGGGACCCAAGGCGTGGGCAGGACAATCGAATTGGACTTCAGACGTCTGCAAGTGAGATAAAGGGGGCTGGGTATGGAAAATGGTGGTGGGGGGGTAGAGCGCAACGGCAGAGTAGAAAGGAAGCATGTCATGGTGGACAGGCAGACGAGGGCACTAAACAGAGGCATGTCAACGGGGGGGG